TGGTGCGGTAAAGGCAGCTGTGGTTACTGCAAACGCCAATACGCTCATCGTGCGTGTACCGGCAGGAGCTACGTATGAACCATTTACCGTTCAGAATACAAGCACCCACCTGGCGGGTTATAGCCCCGGGATTTTCAAAACAACATTTTTGAGCATCAATAGCCTGCAGTATAATTTCTTTGATCCTCCTGCCATTTTTAATTCAGGTCCGTCCGATCATTCTTATTTGCAGCAGGGCCTGGTACTGAATGATTTTGACGGAGATGGGAAGGTGGATATACTCTCTTCCAATGTAAATACAGTTAGCGGACAAGGGCTCTATGTATTCCGGAATATTACGGTTGCCGGTACCATGAACAATACCTCTTTTGATGCGCCTTTATTTATAACCACCGGTGATAATAATACGGCTACCGTCTCATTGGCGGATATAGATGGTGATGGAAAGACTGATGTAGTGGTCAGCAATATGAACCTGCATAACAAGATTGTATTCCGCAATACTTCTATACCCGGCACCATCTCTTTTGCAACAGCAGTGACGATTAATATGTTCAGTAATATCTGGGGAATAACGGATATAGACGGAGATGGTAAACCAGACCTTGTGGGTAATAGTTCAAATACAAGCCTTGATAGTATTTTTGTTTTCAGAAATCAGTCGACTCCCGGGACGATCTCTTTTACAGCTCCTGTATTTACAAACCAGTATCTGGATCGGTACGGAACCAATGCAAGGCTCAGTTTTTATGATATGGACGGTGACGGGAAAATGGATATTATTTACCCGGGACAATTTACCAGTACGACCGGTGTAATAAGTTGGGCAGCTATTATACATCGTAACCTGAGTACTCCTGGTAATATAGCTATTGCCAGTCAGCAACGTACCGATCAGGTCGGAGGCCGTGGCAGCATGGTCATAAGTATTGCAGATTTTGATGGGGATGGGAAGCCGGATATGGCAAGTACGACAAGTTCCGATTATACAGTACCTGCAAATGCAAATAAAATGGCCGTATGGCGCAATACTTCAACCGGTGCAGGCAATCTTTCCTTTAATCCTGCTGTTTCTTATAA